GAATTGGGGGAAGGCAACAGTGTTGGGGAATCGGGAAAGGGGAACAGAAAAATTGCTGTTTTGTTGTTCTTCAGTCTAGTTGTGGAGGACGTCGCTTCACTGGCCCATGTTGGTATTATCATTGCGCTCTTCCCCAGTGAGGCAGTCACTCGCCGGCCATTGGACGGCCACTCACAGCGGCTCATGAAGTCACACTCGCTGCAGCCCAGCCCCACTGCAGCCTACGCTGTCCCTGGCGACTTGCGGCAGCCCAGCTCCAGGTCGAGCTGTTGTTCACCATCTTAGCTGTAGAGGGCGCAGCGTCACTTGCCCTCATATGTGGGATCCGAACCGGGACCCTGCTGCTCAGAGCTGGCGTCCCAAGCCAACTTCTAACCAACGTGCCACTCAGCCGGCCCTGTAGCTACATCTTAATCACATTTTATTGTGTGTCCAGCACTGTACGGGTCCCTCTGGAAGGCTATACATGATGTTCCTATCCTTAGGAAACTTAACATCTCTAGAGGAGGAAAGTCCCTTAAATGGAAAGGAGAAAAAATAAAATTTCAACTAGGATGTTCAAAAATGGAAGAGGTCAGAATAGGTAGATGGGGTCAAGAAAGGCTTTGAGGAAGAAGGTAGGGCCTGAGCCTCAAAGGCAGGATTTAAATCAGTAGAGGATTCAAAGTCAACAAATCATTTGTGTAACTCAGGGAGAGGCCTGTGCAGAGACTGAGTATGCTGGGAGGGAGACTGGGTATTAGGAAGCATTGAAAAATGTGTTTGAGTAGGTAAGATGGGGCCAGTCTCTAAGTTACTCAAAAACAGCATCTAACTAGAGCTCATGCAAAGAATCCCCCATAGCAAACGGCAGTGGTCCTAACCCATAGGAGGTGTTATAATAAATACGCCCTTACCATTTGATTAAGGAAAAATAATTTGATAAGCCCCAAACCAAGATGGAGTTTGTCCCCAATTGTACACATAACAGACATACATATAATTTTTTGTAGGTACTGAGCCCAGAGTAGGGACTTTCTAAAGCTCAAGTCATACAAGCTAAGAGGTAGTGCAGGACTTGGATGGACACTGATGGAAGGTAGGTCTAGGTGGCAAAACCTGAATTTTGGGAGGTGATTCTGTAACACTTTCAGCACAGGGATGAATCTCCCAAAGTGGGGGCGTTTCAGACAGGAGAGGACACTGCTTAACCTCAGTGCTTACAACAGGAATCCTGGTTGCTGGGTCTTTTTGAGGGTATTAGAGGCCTGGTTCTCTCCCCAGAAGTAGCTGGCATTCTCACTTGCTCAGCAATGCCTCAGGAGCAGGATCATATCAACATAGCAGGTCTTGCTTCCCACCTATGCTCTAGCAAAACTGTATGCACATTTGTTAATCAAACCAATTTTCCCCCTACCTTACGTTAAAACTTCAGCCACTTGTCTTCACTTCTGATTTCTTTTGACCAGCCAGTCCCTTCAAATACCTTTAGTCCGATGATGCATCAACAAGCACTAAAATGCATTAGAGGTGGGGTAAGCAAACTATGGCCCACAGGCCAAATCTGGTCCCACTACTTGTATTTGTATGACCCTCATGCTAAGAATGGTTTTTACATTTTTTAATGGTTGAAAAGAATCAAAAGAATAATAATTCAGGACACGTAAAAGTGAAATTTGTGAGTGAATGTCAAATTTCAATGTCTGTAAATAAAGTTTTATTGGCGCATAGCCACATTCATCCTTTTACATATCAGCTATGGCTGCTTTTGTGCTATAGTAACAGTTGAATAGTTTCAGAGAGCACATGGCCCGCAAAGCCTAAAACATTTAGCAGCAGGCCTTTTACCAAAAAAAAGTTTGCCGACCCCTGGCCTAGAGCAATGATTCTCAATATGGAACTTTTTGCTCTTCAGGGGACATTTAGCATTGGCAAAAGGCATTTTTGGCTGTCACAACTGGGGGTAGAGTGGTGTGGTGTGGTGTGGTATTGACATTTAATGGGTAGGGATGCTGCTAAACATGCTACAATGCATAGGTCCCTACAACAAAGAATTACCTGTCCTCAAATGTCAGTAGTGCTGAGGTTGAGAAACGGTGGATTAGAGAAACCTAAAATACTTCTAGTAAAGGGGAAACTCCATTCTTAATAAAGGATACCGTTTATGAAACCCCCGGTCTTTAATTTACATTCGCTCATGTAGGTTTCACAATCACCCTATAAGGGAGTTACTGATATTCGTTTTACAAGGACATTTTTAACACAACTTGCCCACAGTACCCACAGCTAGCAAGACTGTCTGGCTCCAGAGCCTATATTGTTCCACACCTCAGTGCCTGCTGCTACTCAGTGATGTCACAGGCAATTGTTGTATCACTCGGCTGCCCCTAGTGTGCGAGCAGCCCAGACGCAGGCCAGTGTCATTTCCTTCAGGCCTGGGTACCAATCTCTCCTGTCCACAGCATCTGGCCATCCGGGAAATGAAGCCAAGGAAAGGAAGATTCACCTCCAAGGCAAGCGAACTTATGAAAGCTGACCACTCTCCCTCTTGCCCACTTTAATGCTGGGGTGGTGAGGTGAGGATAGGAGCTTCCCTCCCTGGTATATCCAAGACATAAAATACTACTTGCTATCTGTAGAATGCTTTTTGAGTCATGAAGAACAGTCATATCCATGAATTTTCTGGAATCTCCAATCACAGAATTGAATAAGAAAATAATCTTGTTCATTAGGATCTGCACACCACTTCCTCCATCGATTATCCTAGATCAAGAGCCCAACGGGTCAGTTAAATCCACGCTAATGAAGGAAAAGTAGAGGACTTCCTGTTCATTCCCACCCCACCCTGTGGGAATTTCAAGCTCAGATTGAGGAACCGGGCACAGCAGCCCACCTTGAAAGGTTGCATATGGGCTGATGGTGCCTCCCTGAGGCCCTCAAGTCACCCACTTGGAAGTCAGCCACCCATTTCTCCTAAGGCAAACCATGATGGGCTGCCTCACCTAATGGTTTAAGATTAGATCACACAGCCATTGAGCATTTCTTTGAATTTTATTGAAAATTGACATGGGCATTAGAAAGGTATCAAGCTAAACAGTGCTGGTTTCAGGATGTTTCTCCTGGTGAATGAAAGCCCCAGAGGGGCAGTGACTGGTCACAGCTTTGAGCAAAAACAATAAAGGAGAAGAAAGGAAAAACAAACATGCAAAAACGACTCTCTCAAGAGACACTGGACAGTGAGATGGCGATGGTTATGGGGATATTTAGGAATGAGCATACTCACATGGTATTTTGATGCAAGTTAAACCAATGAATTCAAGGAAGATTTATCAACATCATATCTGTCCCTCCAGATCCCAAGTTGAGCAGAAACCTCTCTCAAATCCCTAGCTGACCTTGGAAGGTTGAATGAAGTAAATTTTGCTCTCACTAAGCTTAAAACCCCTCCCTCCTTTCCCTTCTACACTAGGTGTTAGTGGATCCATTTTCCCCCTTGCTGGGGGTCTGCAGAAGGTCTATGAATGCTGAAGAAGATGCAAGTGTCACTTGACTTTCTCTTCCATATTCAGAAATGTTTAATAGTGGCAATAAACAGTCAACCCACTGAACCGGATAATTTGTATTTGAAAAGAAAAGAAAAAAAAATCAAACAAAAACTTGTGAACAGCACTTCCACACCCACAGGTGAGGTTTCCTGCCCCAGTCACTTACACTTGGGTGAATCATCCTGCAGTTGTCTCTCTGAAGTTACATTTGGTCCATTCTCCAGCTCTGATGGTTCTTTTCCTGCCTTGTTAGGTTAGGATAAGACACTTCCATTTAAAATACTATGTAACTCAGGAGGGAGCTTCTTGCCTGGACACAGGGACACATGAACACTTGCTGAGTGTGGTGTGTGTGTGTGTGCGCGCAGTTTGGAGGAAGAGGGAATTTGTTGGTTTCTGGTTTGAGACAACATGGAACCCTAACTCTTCTATAATGACAGTCTTCTCCTTTAAACTTAGTGCAGCTGCTGAAGACAAGATTAAAAAAAGCTGGAAAGGGAGAGAGAAAGAGAAAGAAAACATGAAATTAGCCAAAGAAAAAGAACATTCAAAGGGCAAAGGGAGGGGCAGTGTGAGGTAGCACAGATGATACTTGCAGAGGACAGGTTAGAAGTGGGGTCACTGAGGGACCATCACCACCAGGAAATCTGCTGAGAAGGTTTTAAGAACACCACACACCGGTTTAAAACTTCTTGTTTTAATTGAAAACAAGTACATATTAACAGCCATGTGAATGCCAAACGATTAAAAGAGAAAAGAAAGTGATCTGTACTGCAGCTAGGAAAAGCAAACTTCTTGGCTTAAGAGAAATGAGGTGTGTATGTGTGTGCGCGCGTGCGTGTGCGTGTGTGTGTGTGTGTGTGTGTGTGTGTGTGTGTGTACATACGTGGGGAATTTTCAGGAATGCCATTCCATTCCATTCTGGAAAAATAAAAGCACTGACCATTTCTAATGACTGGTTTTGTTTTATCAGAAGTAAACAGAGTAGCTGGGTATTTAAAAAAAACAACAACAGTAACAATTGTATTCATTAAAAAGCCTTTTCACTGAAAGAAAAAAAAACCTTTCTGTCTACAGTGAGGAAACTACCCAATAAAACAATGATTTTAATTCTTTTCATAGCATTGATCAACTTCCAAAAGGCCTTATCCTCGCTCACATGTTAGATTTTTGTTTATCAAACTTTTGTGATTCTAAGGATCTTCTAGGGCAGGGGTCGGCAAATTTTTGAGACGGAAGAGCCGTCAAGGGTCAGCAAACTGTGGCTCGCGAGCCACATGCGGCTCTTTGGGTTCGTACATGTGGCTCTGAAGTAAAATTGAAAATGAAAATAAAACTATCATAGTTTCATTTATAAAATTTGTAAAGGATATTACTCACATAATGGTGATTATGTAAAAATATATTTATGGCTCTCAAATAATTTTTAAATTGTTCTGAGGGACAGGATTGGCTCTTCCAGGGGTCAGCAAACTTTTGAGAAAGAACATACCCAAAGAGCCGCATGTGACTCGCGAGCCGCAGTTTGCCGACCCCTGGTCTAGGGCATCTGTTAAACATATGCATGCCTGGGCCCCATTCCATACTTCCAGGAAAGCTGACCAGCTAACAGGTGCTGGTGATCCCTACCGTCAGCAGAAGCACTCAGCTCAGGAGCTGGTCTGGACTTTTCTGCTTTGCCTGCCCCTACCCACACATCCTTGGATATTTTTCTATGGGACAAAAAAACCCTCAAAGACCCTCTAATACTAACTATTCGGTTTCTCTGAGCATCAAAAAACCTTCTCTCCAGGGACACACATGAAGAGACTGAATCCCTTTGTGAAATGGATCGGCAGTCAGGAGACACTGAATTTAGCCTGGCTTCTGCTGTGAAACAGGGTTGGGATCTCCAGCAAGTCCCTCACTTCTCTGGGCCTCAATTTCCTCTTACAAAAAAAGTGGGTTATGTCTGTCTTGCGGACCAAAATTTATCCCGGGATACAAAATCCCTGCATAGTCTCTGAAGATGGTGGAAGGCTGTCAAAATTTTGAAGTTTTCAGAGCTCCTAAATCCTCAAGTAGTTAATCTGTAAACAAATGCAAATGAGGGCTCTATTTGTGATGCAAGTAATTATCCAGAGAGATGGAGACTGGTGGTTGTTTTAAGTTTGGGATACATGGGAAGCAGCTGTGACACTGGACAAGAAAGTATCAAAGCTGCAAATAAGATGCCCTTCCCAAGAAGACTTGACAGCCCTAACTTAGCATCTCTGAGCTATTGGCCGAGTATCCAAGTTGTTTTGTTTTTTTTTAAACTGCCAAGCATAGGGTCTCCTAAAATGCTCCACTATGAGACTTGGATTTTTCAAGAAACTAGCTTATGCTTTGGCAGCAATCCCTTCATACTTACCTCTGGCCACTAACCGATCCGCTACTCACCAGACAATACATATCAAAACTGCACTCTTGTTTTGCCAACAAAATCAACTTTGTGCATACGTTTGCTTTTCATTTTTTTCTACTTTTCGCTGCCTATTACTGTCTATTATTGAAGAGAGAAACCCTCTCCCCATTCTAAACACTTCAAAAGGGCCTGAATATTTGGCATAGCCTTGTTAGACTGTGTTTTGAAAGAAAGTAACCAAAAAACCACCTCAAAAAATAAAAAAGAAGATGAAGGTCATGGTCAGTGTCAGTGGGACTGGCAGGCAGAACTTAAAAAGAAGAGGGGGGGCTTGAAGTGGAAGTACATGGCAGGAGAGGGGGACCCGGCTGCCTGGCACCCCGAAGGAAAGCTGTCAGTTAAAATAGGAACCTTGGCTTAAAAAGCTAAATGGAGTCCAGTCCAGCTGTAGCAGGGAATACTATTCAGTACACAGCCATGGATTACTGCAAAGGAAGGGCAGAGAAAGGGCGTGTTAGCCACAGATCATTGCCAGGTCACCTCCAGCTCTCACTCTCTCACTGGCCAAATACCAAAGGCCACTGTGCGCAACAATGGAGGACTCTCTATGTCAAAGGGTTTCCCAAAGCTGTTATCAAAATTAGGGCTCGAATATTTTTTAAATATCAAATCTTTAGACTGGCGATACAGTTAGGGACTTTCTGAGAAACAACACGTCTTTTCCCCTTTCCAGCTGATAGTCTCACCTCTTCTTATTGGGGGACACATACAACATACAGATTAAATCTTATCACATTCACCAAATAAATAGACTGGAAGACTCATCAAAACTAAACCGAAAACACTGATTCTTTGATCACTCAGTTTGGCAGTTTATGACGTGGGGGTTATTATATCTGCTACTGGCTCTGCCTTTTAGGCATTGTGTGGAGCCCTAAGGGAGGTTACAGAGGGGATGCCAAGACACCTCAGAAGATTTCCATAAGTCTATCATTCAAGACACTAGGCTGGTAATAATATTCAGATTTATTCTCACTTCAGCATCTGTGGGGTACCCAGAGATGGGCAATTTTTGTTATTTTCTTCAGCAGTCATGGTTTCTGAGAAGGGCTTGGTGTAAATAAACTTGTTCTGGATTTTTAACACAGTTTGAATCCAGTTACTTTGAGTGAATCAAAAGTGGAAAGGGTTAGAGCCAGCCGAGTGGCTCAATTGGTTAAGAGCTCGCTCAAGAGTGTGAGATCTGAGCAACAGTGGTTTGATTCCCGGCCGGAGCTGAGCAGCCGCTGAGCTGCCAACAGGTGGCAGGATGGCTCAGCTAAAAAAAAAAAGTGGAAAGGGCTGGGCTGTGAGGCGAAAAAGAAAAGGCACCAAAGATCTCCTTCTGGAGCCCTCTAAAAAGGGGCTGTTGCTCCTGTTTGGGGCAGGGGATGCTCAGGTAAGCCCAGTGACTGAAGACTAAGGGGGAAAGCAGTGCTGACTGGTGCTTACCCAGCCATGGTGGATGCAAGTAACACAAGGAGGCAAACGGGAAAGAGTTCAAACAGGGAAGCTGATGGTAGAGAGTAGCAGATGGACCCCCTAAACATGTTACAGTCTGGCGAAGATGGGGGAAGGGAGTGGGTGGTTGGGGCGCTAGGAGGGGGACTGGGATACATGATGCATCACATGACTGCTGGCTTGACCAGAGGTCAGATACTATCCTCGACTCTCAGGCTTCTATAAACCTTAGCAGAAAGAGCGGGGAGGGCAGGAGTTGTATGGACCCCAGGGGGGTAATTAGAGAAAGAGAGACCAAGCTCTGTTACGCAGGAAAAGGGCATCTACACGAAGCCCAAACAGAAAATAAAAAGAGAAGTGGAGTTAATGAATAAGTGGATTAATGTCCAAAAAAAAGTTAGAAGAAAATTGCGTGTCATGATGACTAATAGATAATTTAGAATACATAGCTATGTTAGATGGTCTTAAGGTCCTATTACATTGACTCCTGGGAACATGCTTTCTCGCGAGTAGTGGTATTAGCTAGCAAAATAAGTATCAATAGCTACAGGAATACTTTCTCTCTTTTAATTGCTAGGTCCTGACTAATGCCCCCTCCCTCCACCCAGACACTTTGTGCAGGAATACCTTCAACAAATCTCCAGGTGGCCTCTGGCCACTGGATAGAGCACCAGGCTCTCACCTACTGATTGCCTTGTCTCATAGGGAAAGCAGAGGAGATTGAGGTTTCACCTCAGGTAACCTTCGGAGCAGTCTCAGTCAGCTAACTGGTATCCATGGGCAAGAGCTGTTTGAAAAGTGTCTGGGGAAGATAACCACAATTATCTGAGAACCTGAACTATAGAAATCCATTGTTGGTTTCTGTTCACATAGCACTTTCACCTTTCTTTCATTTAAACTTCATCCTTGTGACATAAACAGGGCTAGTAGTGTCAATCCTCATTTGACATTTGAGGAGACTGAGAAACAAAGAAATCAGCTGTCTTGCCCATGATCACAAAGAAAGAGTCACAGCCAGAATTAGAGCCTGAATCCCTTAGCTGTTTAATCACACCACAGTGTTCCCAAGAACTCCTTGGCTGTGGCTCTAAGTCTGTTTTTTACCTGAAGAATACATTTATCTCATTAAAGAGTATTAGATATTTGGAAGGGATAGTTAAAAACATATGCATATGGGAATATATGTTTGTACAGTCACTTCCTCAGAGTGAATACATCCACACACTTTTCTCTCTCTCTCTCTCTCTCTCTCTCTCTCTCTCTCTCTCTCTCTCTCTCTCTCTCTTTAGCTCTCACTCTCGCTCTCCTCTCTCTCTCTCTCTCTCTCTCTCTCTCTCTCTCTCTCTCTCTCTCTCTCTCTCTCTTTAGCTCTCACTCTCGCTCTCCTCTCTCTCTTTCTCTCTCTCGAATTAGGAGTTCTACATTCTTGTTCCAGTTCTGCCACTAACTTAATGTGTAATCCTTGGTAAGTCTCTTAAATTCCCCACTTCTCCATTTACTCATCTTTTCAACTGAAGATTATTCCTTCTTTCTCTACCTCACAGGACTAGTATAAGGCAAAAATGAGATATCATACTTTGAAAAGTATTAGAATGTTACATGAATTCACCTCCTATTTTATTTTGTCTACTTTCTAGGGGAAGGGAAACCTAATCAACACTGCAATGGCCTATGTTCTGGGATTCACAGGAAGGCTGACGTACTTTGATATGTGTATACTCTTTCATATGTAATACCATGCACCCCTCAAAGGTCAAGTGTCAGTAACCATTGAGATATAGTATCTACAACTATGTACAGGTCACAGGATAATTATTTCTCTTACAGTTGCAGACAGCTCCAAGTAGTGCTTCAAGCAATTTCAAAACCAGTGAGGAACAGTAGGCTTTGCTCTGATTAATGAGAGGTGGCTTTTGTGACCTACCTCAGGAATGAGAGCTTTGGGGAGGGGACAGACTGCCTTTGCTGCTTTCGGATCTGAGGGCGACAAGGCCTCTTTCCACTATGTGGTTTGGAACTGCTTTTGTGGTCTGGTGGGGAGAAGCCTGCCAGGAAAAGCCAATCCACTTGGGTTGGGGTTGGCTGTCCTGGATGTTTGCCAATTGTCTCTCACTTATAAAGTAAGGCTCTAATTATAGTTTTGCCAGAATTCATTTTAGTAATGGCCACTAACAGTGATTTACTCAGGGAAACCTGAACCAAATTGAGTCAAACCACATTAATTCAGTTTCAACTGAAATCTAACTTACCAGGATACATCTTTCCTGCTCTCCTCATTGAAAATGGGGAAACAAAGAAGATACATATGAACTGAGCTTCTACAGGTGTCAGACATGTTGCTAGGCACTGGGACCTCAGCAGTGGACAGACACTCTATGAAGTGATAATCTTCCTAAATGAAAATCTGCTGTTTAATCCCAGTCAACTAACAGGAGCTCTAAAGACTTGCCTTTAACCTAGACAATAAATCTTTTCATTGTTCTTTTAGGGTTGTTTCCTTTGGCTCAATTTCATTGACCTTATGTTTCAGAAACCTCTATGGACTTCCTCATTGGGATTTGCTTGAAAATAGGATGTTTTGCCATCTGCCTGACGTCCCCAGTGCAGTAGCTGTAGCAATCAGTTTGGTGATGAACAGCAGGCTCTCCTTTTAAAATACAAACTATACTGGTGAGTGGGGAGAAGCCTTCTCAATAGTTTATATTCCCTGAGCTAAACAAACCAAATGTAAAGGCATTTATGACACAACTGAGGTATTCTGAACACTGACTATGAATATTATGTTAATAAATTGTTAATTTTGTGATAATGGTGGCATTGTGGTTATGTTTTTGTTTTTTTAAAGAGTCATCATCTCTTAGAGATACATGCTAATAATATATTTACAGATGAAATGACGTGGGATTTGCTTTATAATAATCCAGCAGGTTTGGAGTAATAGAAGGGACAGGATTGGCCCTATGTCTACAGTTGTTTGGGGGCTTGGTTGTGGGTACCTGGGGCTGCACTGAGCTATCCTCTCTCTTCCTTTGTTCCGTTTGAAAGTTTCTGTGGTAAAGTTTAAAGAACAGTAATAAGTCTAATTGTGTCAAATTTAACATATTTATGCTCCCTCCCTATCTACTACCTGAGTCTAGTAGAACAGATCGAAGGTGCTTAATCATTGCTATAACCAACCTATAAATTACGTGATGCCAGGGACTGCTTTACTCACTTCTGTAGATACAACACCTAGCCCTCAGGAATTCATCTCAGCAAAGGTAGGTGTTCATAAAGCTGGTACTTGTAGAATTAAATGTAAGGAAGTCATTATAATATCTGAGAACTCTTCATTTTCTTCCACTTTCATGATCGTTTTGAGGGGTTACATAGCCCAAAAAAATTTGAGAACTTGAATCCCTTGGATAGCCACCAGAGGGAGACAGAGAAGCAAGTTCGGGTGGCTGGGAACATTCCCAAACCAGAGGTTAATGCCACTATGAGAGACACTGCAAGACAGGTCTGCTGAACCCAACCGATTCCCTCTCACTACAGTCTAGTTAATTTTGCAAGTAATGATTAAGGCTCTTTAAGGATAAAATGGCCATCCAGAAATAAACCCATCCATATACGGTCATTTAATCTATGACACTGGAAGCAAGAATTTACATTGGAGTAAAGCTAGTCTATTTAATTAATGGTGCTGGGAAAATTGGACTGACATGCAAAAAACTGAAAATGGACCACCTACTTACACCAAATATGAAAACAAATTCAAAATGGATTAAAGACTTAAATGTAAGACCTGAAACCATAAAACTCCTAGAAGAAAACATAGGGAGTAAATTTGCAGACATCACTCTGAGTAATATTTTTACTGAGATATCCCCTCGGGCAAGGGAAATAAAAGAACAAATTAACATATGGGATTACATCAAACTTAAAAGTTTTTGCAAAAGAAAGGAAATCATCAATAAAACAAAAAGGCAGCCTACTGAATGGGAGAAGATATTTGCCAACAATATATCTGATAAGGGGTTAATATCCATAATTTATAAAACACTCATTCAACTCAACATAAAAAAAACAGCCTAATTAAAAAATGGGCAGAGGATATGAAGAGGCTTCTCTCTAAAGAGGACATACAGGTGGCCAAAAGGCATATGAAAAAATGTTCAACCTTGCTAATCATTAGAGAAATGCAAATAAAAGCCACAATGAGATACCACCTCACTCCAGTCAGAATGGCTATCATCAATAAATCAACAAACAACACGTGCTGGCGAGCTTGTGGTGAAAAGGGAACCCTGGTGCACTGTTGGTGAGACTGCAGATTGGTGCAGCCATTATGGAAATCAGTATGGAGGTATCTCAAAAAACTGGAAATGGAACTACCTTATGACCCAGCAGTTCTACTCTTGGGTATCTGTCCAGGGAAACCGAGGACACTAATTGAAAAACTATATGCACCCCTATGTTTATTGCAGTGCTATTTACAATAGCCAAGACTTGGAAACAACCGAAATGCCCATCAGTAGACAACTGGATTAAGAAACTGTGGTACGTTTATGCAATGGAATATTACTCCGTCATAAAGAAGAATGAAATCGTACCAATTGCAACGATATGGGTGGACCTAGAGACTACTATGTTAAATGAAATAAGTCAGTCAGAGAAAGACAAATACCATATGATCTCACTTCTATGTGGAATCTGAAAAACGGTATGAACAAGCAAAGTAAACAGAAATAGTCTCAGAGATATAGAGGAACAACTGATGGTTGCTAGTTGGGAGGGGGGTGGAGATGAGGGAGAAGGGGAAGGGATTAGACAGCATAAATAGGTAACTACAATATTGCCACAGGGATATGAAAGACAGTTCGAGGAATATTATGTTGTAAATATTTTGCAGGGTGTCAGATGGTCACATGTCTTGTTAGGAAGACCACTTCATGGATGGGGTAGAGGCTTGATCACTGCACTGTACATGTGAAGCTGATGTTGTATAATATTGTATGTCAACTATAATTGAATATATATATATATATATATATATATATATATATATATAGTCACGGGATGTGGCGTATAGTGTGGGAGTGGA